ACCCCTACTTGACCGGCCGGCCATGACTGGAAGGTTCTGGATTCAAAGGGACCGCCCTGTCTCTTAGTAACAGCGCTCGGGTTCCCTGTTAAACTATGTCAAAGGATACCAAAATATGTAACTGTTAGATGTGAATGATTCTGTGCATGCAATTGTACAGAAAATGGTTACAGTTGGTTTTAGTTAAAGTTAGGGTGATCTAGTTAATGTGTCACTGTCCAGATGTAATGGTTCATACAGAGGTAAGTTACATGACTATTGTGCACTCCTGAGAAGCAGCTCCCTTTCTCCTTTGAAAGCACTTAAAAGGTGTGTTTCTCCATATCCATAGAGAAATTACTTTCCATTACAGCAACCAGATTTTTTTTTTTCAAGGTGGGTTATTCATATGAGTATTCTGCATCCCACTGTCATTTCCATCTTCCTCAGAGCCTTTGCCACTCTGGTATTCAGTGGTAGAGGGCAAACTGAGGAGAGGGAAGTGCACACTAGTGTCTGGGCCCTTGGCATGTAGCATGAAAAAAAGCAGGGCATAGGGAGCTTGTAAACATATCGCCAAGGCAAAAATCTCTTGAGGCTGAGACGTTGAGGTCCATGCATACCCGCAGTGGAATGTGCACAGGGACAACACATGTTGGTCAGTTTCTGATAACTAATTTCCTTTACCTTCTGCTGAAATGATCTTAGTTTTACATGAAAGATTTAATAAATTGTAAGCATGGTTCTTCATTGAAAAGGAATTCTGATTTATTTGGTTTTTAAATTAAATATTTAATTTTTTTCTTGGGCTTACTTTTACACTTATTCTGTTGGTAAAACAGGCAGTTTTATGAAGCTAAAGAAAAATACGAGGATTCGGCGAATAAAGTGAAGAGTTTGAAGAAATTTATTGAACTGCTAGAAGTAATAATGTTAGAGAGATGCCGCACGTACAAGAAGTTCAGAAAGTGAGTGATGTTTAGTAAATGCTAGTGGTTCGGGTACCTCTTGTAAAACTATATACATGGGCAAATTTAAACATTTATCATACATTGTTAGATCATAGAAATGTAGGCATTTCCCAGAACCTTTCATAGTAAATCTTTGTACCTCTCTTGTATATTTATCTTTTTTTATTTGCTCTCCTCTGAAACAATAAAACAAGATTCAAATTGTGGAAGGGTGTCAATATTTTACCCAAGATTTCAATTTTTAGCTGCAAATAGACCTCTCTTAATTCCTCCACTAAATTCTGTGTACAGAACATTATCAGAAGGCTTTGGTTAGATCATCAATTGTCAAGCAGGGTGCTGTGAGATCTTCCTAAGAGTGCTGTGCAAGGTTAGCAATGTTAGGTGTAAAATCAGGTAAGCATGATTTACATGATAAACCCAGAAAGTTAAAAAATTAATCCAAAATATTCTGACCTAGTAAGTGTTTCTGAGTTCTTTGCAACAGAAGAATTGCCCTATTATT